AGTTTTGTTAGTTTTTAGCCACTTTGAAAGCTACTATAAACATATTAGTATGCAAATGATATACTAACATTGACGTTGGAATCTAATATTTTAAGATCCTGCTTGAATCTTATTTTTGTGATTAAAATCAGCTGTGGATATTCTCCATGACTCACAAATTGTCTCTCACCAAGGTGACATTCATGAGGTATTTGTTGGGTGGTTTAGTAAGTATGGACTCAATAAATAAACTACTCTCACCCACCCTACCTACCAACATCATCCCGCTGGCCAGCCTTGCTCCCCAACCTGCAGCTATCAGTAGCAGTTAGAAGACCTGATTTGCCCCAGCTTTCAAATTTTTCCAACATGGAATTTGAGTAAGTTGGTCCCTTTTACTTGTCAGGATGTTCTATAACTAACTGATAATCAGGAATAATACTAAATTGTTTCTGTCAACCTGAGGATTAATATGAGGGTCTTTCGATAGAGTATTTTTTGTTCTCTGACATCTTATTCTTTCCTATCTGACAGTAAGTCCAGCAAGCCAAGTCAGTAAGTGTAAGCCCTAAGCCATTCTTGCAAATATAAGATACTACTCTCTCATACCTTTTTATTTTTTGCCTTTTCCTAGATTTATCACTTCTCTACCACTTGACTTTAAAATCAAAAGATCTAACAATCTGCAAGACTTCAGGCAAGTCATTTAATGATGTTAGGTATCTTTATCAGCAAAAGAGGATTAAGGATGGCCAGATTACAGAGTTCTTAGGAGAATTAAGTTGAAAAAACGTACCTGAAAATAATTTATAAATTGTAAAGATCACATAAGTTGGCGATATCATGTGTTTCCTACCTTTGCAGTTTCTTTTCGTTCCACAATATATGCATTATTTTTATAGGCTTTTACACTTCTGTTGTGTGACACCTGTATATTGAAAACTATTCAACATTTTACTCATGTATGAGACTGTGGACAGGAGATGACATTTCATTCAGAAGTCCTGAATAGAACAATGCCAGTGTGGCCATTTCTGATTTTTCACTTTAACAAGTTGCTTATTGAGAAGAATGATTTCACATGAAAAATGGCTGGACTTTTATCAGTTATACTTCCACAAAGAATATTTAAAAAGCAGTCCTTTAAAAAATTATGTGGGTTATTTATAACTTCTCCTATTCCTTTCGTCTTAATGGCTACACAATATATGATATTTTATAGCCTCTGTAATTTCCATTATCAGTCTGCAAGTCTGCATTTCTTTCTTTGTTGACTCATATATTTGCAAATTATTTATTCATCGCAAGATACATTCATGCAGTTGAAAGAAAAAAATAATGTCAAGGCTGAGCAGGAGTAAAAGTGACTCAGTAAAAGGCACATAAATCTTTTTCTCCCTTTTCTCTCCATGTCTCAAATTAGACTAGTACCAAAGTTTTAGAATATTTTTTTTAAATACTGAAAGCTGATTTCTGTGAATAAAGGGTCCACTTTCTTGTCTACCTTGCTAATGCTAATTCCACTTCATTCTCTATCCAGGGAATGTTCAGTCGTGTTGTAAATCATGTATTTCACCATTTTTTGAGATTTCCCATAGAAGACAGGATTTTTTCCATTCAGATTTTTGTTTTTATAAATTTAGTATTTCACATGGATCTCTTTATTTTCAAGAATATTGTTTCTATAAACTTCCTTACCCTTTATCTTGTTTGTTTCTTCCTAGACTGGTTTCATTTGATTATTTTAACTTACTATCTATGCTATTGAAGGTCACCATCCTTGAACTTATTTCCTTGAGAACTTTCCAGTTTCACATACTGTGTTTATAAGGCTATAATTGACTTTTTAAAAATTATCTAATAATCTCTCTGTAACACTTAGTTACAGAATGTCCTTGGATGTTTCTGTGCATAAGGTATTCTTTGGCAGTAAGAATATGTCAACACACTGACATTGAACTGACTCTGGAACACAAATGAATTAGTCTAACTTGCTGTTTATTGTCTTCATAAAAGATAGCTATATATTTGCTATCAAAACTACTAACTGGTATTTGACTATTCTTAGTATTGAGATGACCTTTCTGCATGAAGCTAGTAAGATTTTTCCATTGCACATGCAGTCTAGGTGTTAATATATGCATGCCTAAATCAAGTCCATTTTCTAATTTGTAACAAACTACCAACATGGAGGTAAGCAGAGCAAAGTAAAATACATAATTTTAGGATGCCAGATAACTTAATAAACACTAAGGTATACAAATGAAAATCATAAACTTTCTTGTGGTAATCACAAAAATTAAGGCCTGCAAGATTGTTGATTTCACATGGATTCTAAATGTAGCAAATGCTGTAGGACAGCACAAAGAAGGTCATCAGATTCAACCTGTTATTAAGCAACTACCATGCGAGACATTGAACAAGCAAATAAAATAAAGATAAAGACAAAAAGGATACTGTCTTAGTTCCTAAGTTACGGGAAAACAGAGAGGTGCATTAATACATTGGACTGAACATTGTATCATAATGAAATCTCATGTAGTGGAACAGAAAAAGTATAATGAAATCAGGGAAAGGGAAAAAATAATTATGACCTAAAGAATCAGGAAAGGCTAGAGATGGGTGCTCAGATAAGATTTCCATGGGCAGAGATGGAAGAGATTTTCTTTTTAGAGACAATAATGTGAACACAGGAGCAGAAATGACAATATACAGTGTACATTAAAGAATGTTGAGAAATCGGAAGTGCCTTAGAAAATTGTATTTAAATGATAGGAGATTCAGATCAGATTATAAGGAAAATTTGACTAATATTCAGTAATAATATATGAATTTCTATACATATGATGGATTCAAAAGTTTTGAAACAGAAAAGTTAATGGTTGGGATTATGCTTCAAAAGTGCCATTCTGGGGCCCTACAGGTGGACTGAATGAAAAACTGTGGAAAAGGATGTATTTAAGAGACAACTGGAATAATCTAACTAACAGATAACGGCAACTTAAATTTAAAAAAACAGCTGGTTATATTGTAGTCAAAGAATTGATTTATCAGCTGATTTTAAACTCTGAAAGAAGAGGAGCTGTTTAAAAGTGACTCTAGAATTTCACGGCTTAAGGATCATATTGGGTAACTAAGAAGGCATGGAACACAGTAAGAAAACACAGCTTTGATAGTAGTTATTAGTGACCATTTTCTTTTTTTCTACCAAATTCTCAAACTGTTAATCCTCCTCATTCTCAATATGGTCATTCTGTGGTATCCCTGGATCAGACTTTACTGTGATGTATTTGCTAATAGCCACATTCTCTCATCTCTACCAATCTATTCAATGATAACATTGTCACCTTCATAGACTCAGGAAATGTAGTCTCTGGAATAAACAGTAGGTTCCCATTCTGCAACTTGAGTTTCATTTGATGCCATTCACTCCAAGTATATAATGTTCTCCAAGAGAATCACACCCAAATGCCCATTTTAAAATCAAGAGTCATCACTACGCTTGTGCAGGCTTCCATTTTTTTCTCTTTATCCTATTCTGTCTGGAATTTGTATTTATTATCAGAATTCCTATGTACTAGTACAGCTGTGAACTCAACTTCAGCACCTCAGCCATAATATTGTCTTGTTCTTACCTCTTATTCTAAAAAATGACTTTTTACCCTATGTTGTATACTATTGCTTTTTCTCGGCCCAGTCTCTGAGCTTTGCTTACTTTTTTTCTAAGTGCTCAATCTGACCTGTTTCATTACAGATATCTTTAAAAAACCAAAAAGTCAAGAGAAAAACTATAAATTTTGAATGTGTGTGGCTAGTTTACTTTTCTTGAGTTAGTCTAAGTATCTGTCAATATCTGTCCCATCTTTGTGTATGGTGCTACATAAAATATTTTTTCTCCCAAATACCAGAATATGTCTTGAGATTTTATAGATATTATAGGAAGGATGGTGACTTAATTTGGGAGTATACTGATCCCAATTAGAAGTAGAACATTCATATAGCAATGCCCAACAGGAAACTGGATTGATGGCAAGAGAGTAATAATATGAATATTATAAACAAGCCTATTGTTAATGGGCTTATGTTTCAAAATGCTAAACTTGCCACATTCATTTAACTACCTTCTTAGCCATCACTGAAATGATTGCGTAAGAATTCTTTTTAAGTCTTAAAAGTCAATGATATTTGGACAGAAGACAACAGAATATAGCATATTTTGAAAGACAGATAGCAGGTGGGTGGCTGCTTTACAACCAAAAATGTGTCTGAGGAATTGATGATGAAATATCTGGAAGTTAGTGTAAGAAAGAGAAGATTCATCTCCTGAACCATGCACAGCATTCATGTTATGAAATTTCAAGCATAAGACCAGATTATTGGAATTTAATTTCTGACAACACAAAATAGAAAGGCTTAGAATTTAGGAACATTAGGTTTGTGAGGAAGCAACGCTGAGGAGCAGGCCTATAATCAAAGGGATTAATTGGAGGTCCACACATGCAATGTAAGTTAATGGGAATTGTCAGAGAGATTACATATATCCAAAATAAAAGACTTAAATGAATAATTCAGGAAGTCTAACATCAAAATAACTGAAACTTCCAGAAAGAGAGACCAGAGTAAATAGAGGAAGGGAAACTATCAAAGACACAATATAGGAAATTTTCCCAGACCTGAAGAACATGAGTCTCCATAATAAAAGAGTCCATGGGGTGCTCAGACAACCATGGAACTATCAATGTTAGGGCACAGCATTAAAATCTTTTCTAGGATAAAGAGAAAAGGAACAAGCAATAAATAAACATTCTAAAATCTTCCAAAAGCTGTTAAAATAGGACACAAATAAAAGAATAAGAAAAAATGACACTGAGCTTCTCAATAACAATATTGGACCCTAAAGGACAATGAAATTACAATGAAAGGACAATTTATACGTATGCATAAAATATGATTTCTAATCAAGAATTCTATAAGATAGCCAAAAGTCTAAACTATGTGAGGATAAGACTTTTCCACATACAGTGCTTGCTTCAGCAGCACATATACTAAAATTGGGATGATACAGAGATTAGCGTGGCCTCTGCACAAGGATGACAGGCAAATTCGTGAAGTGTTCCAAATTTTTCATACAAGATCTTATGGTAGCTCATGGAGAAAAAAAGGTGACAATGAATATATATATGTTCACGTACAACTGAAAAATTGTGCTCAATGGAATTTGACACAACGTTGTAAAATGATTATAAATCAATAAAAAATGTTTAAAAAAAGAATTTTCACATACACAATGACTAAGAAAATTTAATATCTTTGATTAGGGGTCTAATTGAGATATGCATCTCATATTGTAGAAGAGGAAGCCAGCTTGATTTCATCTGTGGACCCAATCAGTGGCGTCCCCACAACCATTCCCCTTGGAGACATCCTCTCAAGAAGACTCCGTACTTGGCATGTGACTTGCTTTGAATAGCAGAGTAGGAAATCTGATGCAAGCAGAGATTTGAAAGAGTGCACGCACATCTTCCTTTCCCTTTGGCTCTTTTAGTTGCCATGAGACCATGTCAAGAGAACAGGGCGAGTCTGCTGGAGAAGAGAGGCTTGTGTATGTGACAAATCTGCCAACCACACTAGCTGAGGCCATACTAGACCAGCATGTCCCAAGCTGACCTAGACAACGAAACACAATGTATGAGTAAGCCCAGCCAAGCTCAGCCACGTCCCGCCCAGTCAGCAGAGCGCTCCCCCATAAACCAACCTCTAGCCTTAAGAAAAATTTCAGTAACGATCTTTTGGCTTTTTATTTTGCACCACTAAGTCACTACTAAATGTGTATTTCAAAGGTTTGGACAACTAACAGAAATAACACCTAAAATGGGTTAATTTGGGGGAGTGAGACTGAGAGGTGCAATAGATAGGCTTGCTTTCATTATAGCCTTTCAGTAGTAAATGATTTTTTAAAAATCACAAGCGTGTTTTAAATTTTTTAAATGATGACAGATAGGGTTCTACATAAAGTTGTAGGCCAAAGGAATTTTATTGTTTATGTTGTTGCTGTTTTGTTTGATCTGAATGAGAAAGAAAAAGTGAAAATCTAGGAATACACTTGGGTGGGAGAGGTGAATATGAATGCTATTTTCTACCCTGAAAACATGAAGGTCTAGAATAATAAGTAGCTGACAAGAACCTAGTATCCTTAGGAACAGAGACAGATTTCTGTTGGGGCAAGACTGAAATTGATTTTGTTTTCTAAGGAACAGAGCTTCCGGGGGAGCACAGACTATTGTGGGTAGAGGAATTATGGAGGCAGAAGTTAACAGTAAGGGACTGTATTTTTGCCTTTGACTGAGAAACTCAGTATGAAAGGTATGGCTAAACTCAACCAGCTTCCCAACTTTGAATACACCTTTACTTAAAATATTTTTTCATGTGAGAATTGCTTGAAAACTCCAGATTTTTCTGGGCCTGGACTTCAGCAGAAATCTTATAAAGAGTTCACCAGGCAAATGTAAAATTTAGCTTAGACTCTAATTACAGTGTTACATATAGTGAAATACCTGATTCTAAATTAATAAGCCGGTGCTTGTACATGAATGCATGGATTACAGCTGTTATCCAAGGAAAATACTTCTTTTAAGATAGTGGAAAATAGGAGCTTTTTCTTTATCTGAGGAGTATATGGGATGAAAATACATGACTGGAAATTCAAACGTATCATTTGAAAAAACAGTTAGGTTTCAGAGCTTCATTTAACTAAAGCATAAAACTAAGTATAGTGTGATGTAAATGTGCCCAAGTAATCACTGTGCTTGGATGGAGCAAAGATTATCATTCAAAGTAAACCCATTTCTCCTTCTGTATGAAACAGACATTACAAGAGATAAACAAGCTAACAACATAGTCATTAAGTGAGGATAAAAATGCTCAAAGATTCTGTGTTTAGTAAGAATATATTAACAATAAGTTTAATGTTTCAGCCCCCCATAATCTCCTTCAGTCCTCCTCAAGCACCTAAAGAAGTCTTCAATCTCAGAAAGCACAGAAACATACAAGTTCAAGACAAATCAACTAATCTCTGTTGTCCACATCCCCTCCACCCAAGTCCTGACATAGACATTGTTGAATAAAGAGTGATTTCCCTGACAACGTCCATCTATTTCCAATCACAGTGGATGCCCCAGACCCCTGTATGCATGAATGTGCACCTGTGTATTAAAAACAACTGCTAATCTCTCCATTTACTTAAATATGAGAGTCCAAATAATTCAAATTGATCTTACATAAATTATTAAAATACCCAATGTTCTTCAACAAATAACACTTTGACAATATGGTACCATCTAATTAAACAAAGAGAAATTTAAAGCAATAGGAGTGACTGTACTTCTCTGTAATACGTAACTGCTAACCTGTGATTTCCTATGAGAGCAATGTAAAGAATTATGAGTACTTGTTTTCATGGTCAGATGTTTAATGAGATGCTTACTCCTGCAAGTATACAGTGGATGCTACAGACTGAATTCAACTAACATGTGTATTATTTAGTACTGAGAGAAAATAAAAGATGATCTCTAAAGGCAGAATTGAAAACATTCTTTTGTTGTTAGAATGTTAAAACAAGGTGTTCATAAGAACTCTGGCTGAAAGCCACCAAAAATCAGGTCCAAGTATATATGAGAATGCAAAACCGGTAACTCCTGTTAATGAGATTAGAAGAATTATACAGAAACAGCACTCATTTGGGTTGACAATTATTCCTGGATGTAAAATATATAGAGAGAGAAGGTGGCCAGCCCATTATTGAATCACATGACCTGAGTAAAGTTAGAAAGTAACAGATGATCTGGGGCTCTTCTCAAATCATTAAAACTCAAGAAAGTAATACATAAATTTTAATATAAAACATAAAAATGTTTTATTTTTTGCTTCTGAGAGCAGAAGAATGCACAAATTTCAAGTTTGCTTAACATATACTTGACTTTAACAGGAATGAAAAGTTTCAATAATGACTATGCTAGGAATTTGTATTTTTGCCTAATGACATGAATGGTCAAGAAACATAAGGGAATTATGATCATATCGTTATGTAAAGGATCTCTTTAAGATCCTTGTTTTCATATGCTTATCATCCTGGATATAATCACAGATATTGATGGATAGTTTGACCTCTGAATCTGCAGAGTTTGAAATTCTCAAGAGTTGCTGAAGAGTTTAATTACACACTATTTCTAAATGACCTCATGAAAGAGTTGCCCAAAGAAGACCATAGTAAGACATGGCTTAACAGTTTTAGGTGAACTTCTTAACCATAATGACGAAAATGCTCAGGTTTTCTTTTCAAGGGCCAATTAAAATGATTTTTTTAATTGACAAGGGTAGATGAGGGAATGACCATTGTGCTGTGTGCTTGGCTTTGTGAGTGTGTGTGCATATGTAGGCGGGGAGAGGTTGTCAAATGAGAAAACGGGGAGCAAACCTGAGCTCTTGTCTTATCATATACTCTTACCCTAAAGAGGGGCATTTTTGCACCAAAAGTAAGAAAATATGTACACTATATAGAGAGAGTAATTTCAAGGAATACATGTAACTTAATTTAAAACGCCCCATATTGTTCTTCTTTATCTCATTTCACCACAGACCAGTGAATACTTGGTCTACACAGTGATGTAGAGGCAAGTACAGGTAATGGCCATGTTTGCACTAGTCTTACCATCACTGACACAAAGAAAGACTCATGGCAAAGGACTATAACCTGAGTAGATACAATTCCATCAAAGAGGGATACAATCACACTTCACAGGTAGAACTTGCCATTGATTTGTCTGATATGTGGATATATTGCATATATGATCTTATTTTGAAAAACAAAGGAAAAGAAAGATCTTGTAGAGTCTGATATGATACTGAGAGCGAAGTAGTGAAGATGATGATTATGGGGAAATGGCAGAAATATCATGCAAGAAATACTCAAAAGCATTGTTTTATATGCTATAAAGCACTAGGTTTTTATCAAACTAAAAATATAACCAGAGAGGCCCTTATCTTGGAGGAAATGCTATCTTAATTTCTATTAGAAATTCCTGACTTTCCATCCTCTGTTTCTCATCTACTCAGATCAAAAGTGTGTGAACTGTGTGAACTACTAAGCATCTACGTTCACATAGAGTTCAATGACAGAAGAGGAATCCTGCCAATTCCTCTAGGCTTGAACAACTTAAGGTCAAAGGAAAAAGCTAAAGGAACTAATTTATGTGAGATTATTTTATTAAAAAGAAAACAAACTAATATAAACTATCACTGTTTATTCTTTCAGCTTTGATGACACCCACCTTCCTTCACTTCCTTACAATAATTTCCAGCTTTCTTTGGTTTTTATCTAAAGTTTCCAAAGTTGAACATCAACCATTTTTACAATAATTAAATCTTACTTAAAAAGTGGGGGTTTCCACGTGAATGTATTCCTCTTCTTCCTCATCTAAATTTATTTAATCTTTTCAGAAATCCTGGGTTATGCATAGAGAGATTTAAAAATAGCTTATCATTTGTTTCTTTTTGTAGCAAAGGGGATGTATTCACCAAGACATTTCTATAAGGGGGGGTGGGGAAGCAAGCCCACAGAGAGGGAAAAGTCTACTAACTCAGGCCATAAAAGAACATTTTAATCACTTTTCAGAAATTGGAAACTGTTCTTTCCCTTGCAGTCTCAGAATTTATCATTCACCAGGCTTAATTAATTAAGTTTCCTGTACAAAAAAAGATAAAATTGACAACACAAGATTCTGTTGAAAACTAGTTAAATTTTCTCTATAAATTGCTTTATTTCTATCTTGCTCTCAAAATATATTTCTTCTGCCTTAGTTGACTCAAGTTTAGCAAATGAAAACTTAATGGAGTGCACGGAGCACAATATGTCTTCACAAGAGCAGTGTTTAAAGAACAAATTGCTCCATTTCTGCAGCTAGAAATAAGAGTTCAGACGGATTCTAAATGTCAGGAAACTTACAAAGTGAAGGCACTTTTAAAAATTCAGGGTTTTTTTTCCTGTGTATTAAGTAATCTCATGATTTTTCTCATTTTCCCTACTGATCTCTTTCAATTCTACCTATTTGTAAAGACCAATTAAGAATA